GATCGCATGCTCTGAATGTAACTTTGTACTGGCGCAGCTTGCTGTCGTACTTGCGATCCGTGATGACGCGGTCAACTTCCTGATGACCATCCATAGAAGGCGGGTCCTGCGATCGTCGACCCAGGAAGTCGTCGCTCTTAGCTGGTGTATATGTTGCCAGCTTCGAGGCATGAAAGACTGGATGGACCGTCAGATGCTCGGGAATGTTGATCACAAATGAAGGGCCATCGGGCTCATCGCCCGCGGCTGCGGTCACAGACCAAGGTCCAAACCACTTGGGAAGCAGTTTGCGTGAAACATCCTGTTCCAGTGCAAACTCTTCCGCGGAGACCCAAACCAGATCACCGGCGCGAATGGGCCATGGTATGCAACGCCTGTTGCCTTGCTGCTGCATGCGGACTTTAGCCTTTTGCATGTTCGCGCGGGCTTGAGTCAGCAATTCCCTGTACTTCCGGACGGAAGCGGGAGAGCAGGCAGCGTCAATGTCGGCTGGTCGAGGGAGGAGAAGGTTGGCGAAGCTCCGGCCTTTCCGTCCACCGTGGTGCAACTCGAATGGAGTCACGCCGATCGCCGGATGCACCGAAGTGTTGTAGGCGAACTCGATGTCGGGGAGGCGGTCAACCCAATGTTTCTGGTCCGGACAGATGAGCGTACGAAGCATCATTTGGGCGGTTTGATGTGCCCGCTCCGTCTGCCCGTCTATCTGTGGATGCCGAGCCGAACTTGGTTTCATCGTCGTGCCGGACTCGTGCACGAGCGCAGTCCAAAATGCTGACATGAAACGAGTGTCGCGGTCGCTGACTATGTCTTCCGGTACACTATGGCCACAAATCCAACCGGTGTGTAGGATGCGTGCCAGCTCGAGAGCTGTGGAGTAGTACTTGCAAGGAAGAAAACGCGCATACTTACTAAATCGGTCCACCACCGTGAGGATGTCGTCGTGCCCGAGCCGGTCGCGGGGAAACGGACCAGTGACGTCCATGGCAATGGAGAGACCGGGTTCCCGTGGGATAGGCATCGGGTGTAACTCGCCGTAGGGATTGCGGTTGCGGGGCTTGCTGCGTCGGCAAACTTCGCAAGAGTCGCAATACCGAGTGACATCGGTAATGAGATCGGGCCATCGGAATCGCTGTCGAAGCCGTGCAATAGTGCGGTTGACTCCGAAATCGCCGGCGAGTCGCGAATCATGATACTCGCCGAGGAGGTGAGGCCGAAGACGGCGATCGCGTGGGACACTTAGTAAGTCCTTGCCTCTTGAGTGGAGGAGCAAGTACCCGTCGGCAATGTGATAGTGGCTGGCCGGCGGGTGATCTGAAGATAGCTGTGCATACAACGTGGCGAAGTCCGGATTAGACTCATATGCTCGGATGAAATGGCGCTGAAGCTCCTCGTCGAATGCGAAAGCATGATGTGTCATAGCGCAAAGATCAGGTCTTCGCGAGAATGCATCTGCTGCGCGATTTGAGAGGCCGGGAAGATGTTTCGGTGTGAAGTCGAATTGGTCGATGAAGTACATCCATCGCCCGATCGTGCTGCTCACCGTATCCAGCGTCTTGTAGTAGGTCAATGGATTGTTGTCCGTAACCCATGTGAACCTACGACGCCCAAGGAGGAAGTGCCGCCATCGCTTGAGAGCCATGACGAATGCGAGCAGCTCCTTCTTCCTTGCATCATCAAGCGAGTTGATGGGAGGCACTTTGTGGCTGAAATACTCCACAGGGTGCCAGTCGTCGCCGTCGTGCTGTTCAAAGACTGCCCCAATGCCATAGCCGGAAGCGTCCGTAGTCACTCTCGTCGACAGTGTGGGGTCATAGATGCTAAGGACGGGTGCCATAAGCATAGTCGTCTTAAGTGCTTGGAATGACCGATGTGCGTCGTCATCGAATACGAATGGCACCTTTGGCGACTGTAACGTCATCATAGGTGCAACAATCCTGGAATATCCGGTGATGAATCGCTGATAGTAGCCTGCCAATCCCATGAATGAACGAACGTCGGTGGTGTTGGTGGGCTTGGGCCATACTCGTAGGGCCTCGATTTTATCCGCAAGCGGACGGATGCCTTGCGGCCTCACATAGTGTCCCAAGTACTCCAGCTCCTGCCGTGCGAATTCGCACTTGTCGTGGTTGGCTTTGTACTTGGCCTGTCGTAGCCGCTCCAAAACGGTGCGCAGGTGTTCCACATGCTCCTCCAAACTCCGGCTGTACACCAGGATGTCGTCGAGGTAGATAAGTACGTATCGATCCAACATGTGTCGGAACTCCGTTGTCATAGCCGCTTGGAAAGTGGCCGGGGCATTCGTAAGGCCAAATGGCATAACCAGCCATTCGAAATGCCCATATCGCGTCTTAAACGCGGTCTTGTAGTGATCCTCCTTGCGAATCTCGAGTTGGTGATATGCCGACTTGAGATCGAGCTTGGAGAAGAACTTGGCGCCGCCCAGTCGCTCGAGAAGATCATCGATGCGTGGGAGAGGGCCGGCGTTTTTGATCGTCTGCTCGTTGAGCTTGCGATAATCGATGCACAACCGCAGATCCTTGTTCTTCTTCCGGACGAAGAGAACAGGAGCACCATATGGCGATGAGCTAGGCCGAATCCAGCCTTTCTCCAGGAGGTCGTCGAGTTGTGCCCGAAGCACACTTAACTCTTCCTCGCTCATTCGGTAGATGCAACCGCGTGGAGGTACGGCCCCGTCCTCGAGGATGATCTCGTGGCGGATGGGCCGATCCGGTACTACTCTGTGCGGGCCTTCGAAGACGTCGCTGTAGGCGTCGAGAAGCTTGGTGATGCGTGGATCCGAAGAAGAGTCCGTCGATGAAGCGTCATGGGGCGGGAGGGCGTGGAAAAAACACACCCCCATGTCCTCGATGTCGTCTCTGATAATGGAAGCTCGCATGCTTGCGGCGGATACTACGTGACAGCTGACT